GACTGTCTAACTTCTCAGAGGATCCACGAACCGAATAATTTTCTCATTTGACTGGTAATGAAAGAAACCAGAGTAACATTTCTTACTCTGGTAAAACAATCTCAGAGTCTGCATTGCTCATATCCCAGGTGACTGCCTGGACCACCTAACAGCTGCTGAGTTTGGACATATCAGTGTCAATGTTATTTTTTAGACCTTTCACAAAACATGTGATGAAAATATCCATTTTTCCTCACAAATCATTTGCACGGGAAGGAGAATCCAAAAGTTAAGAACGAAAGATGCATGATCTGAGATGTACTCTGTTAATCAGTGCTGACAGCTAAAAAACACTGTAACCTTTCTGAAAAAACTGTTATCTGATTGGATTCTCAGATTTTAATAATAAGCACTAATAAGCATTTTCAGATAAGCACTAATACCAAGTTACATCTATTTTGTGGCAAAGGAGGTCTTTTGCTATCCCTTTTTGCTGGAAATCCCACCATTGGTGAAATTGAGAAAAACTTGTTAAAAGCTGTTTCACTGGAAGATAAAAAAAGTTAGTTTTTTTACATGCAGCTGCTGAAAAATGTGGGTGTACAAAATCTCGTGTGGCAACTGCTTCTGTGACTGTCCTACAGTAAAGAGCAGTAAAGACCAGGCCATGGCAGTGGTCACTGAAAAACCTTTGCCACAGTCGCTGGGAAATGTTTCAGCAGAAGTGTGCTCTGCACTTGTAAACACTGTCAAAAACAGGTTTCACTAATGTCAATAAACCTCCCCAAAATATGGCAGAAAACTCCCATTATAACTTTAAATAATTCAAGCAAATCGAACCCTTTCCTGGATATATCCTGAGATAAGAATGTTTTCTAAATATTTGAGAAAGGAAGAGGAAAATAAGGGTAAAATAGAAGGGCAAACTTACATAGAATCCTTTGAGTCCATCACTGAGTAGCTCCCTAAATACTGTACATTTAAGATCCCTACCACAGAATAAAGATCTTCCTTTGCCTGTATGTTACTGCCTAGCCCTACAACCAGACTATGTAGGACTAAATCTGACAGCAGAATTCAGGCATGCTGTAGCATTCAATGCTTAGAAAATCCTTTGCCCTTGTAATATTCATAATCCTATTATGTTAAATTTAGCTGGTCAAATTCTGCTCTTACTTGTACTTCACATCTGTCAACTTAGGGCACACAGGGCATGCATCAAAGCAGCATTTAGTTCAGAATAGGGGAAGATTGATATTTGAAATACATTTCATCTTCCAAAAGCCATATTTTTCCAATAATAAATGCATAAACAAGCATCCCCAAGGTCATGCAATCGGTATTCCACTCAGCTAAAGATGGTATTAAAGAGCTAAAATGAGAGAAATATTGTCATTTGGTTATGCAGTGTAGTGATGTCATCCTTCTGGCACTTTGGAACTTTGTTTAACAAGGAAATCAGCCGGAGCACGGGCGCTGCAGAGGAGCTCAGGCTGAGGGTCTGGCAGAGTGGGAGCTGGGCTGCAGGCTCTGCGTGTCCCCACGCTGCAGGGCTTTTGTGAATTAGATAAATTACTTCCTTAATTATCTAAACATATACTAATATTATCCAATATTACAAAGAAATATTAAAGAAATAAATATTAAAAGTCCTTGCAAACAAGCACATAGAGCACTGATTCCTCAAGCACCCCACTGGAGTGCCAGAGGCATAGTCCTGTTAAAAGCAGCCCTACTAAAATACCTTAGATGTACTGAAAAAATGCTCCAAAAATCTCAGGTAAAATTTTAAAGCTGTCTTCCTTGGGTAAGTAAAAAATCATCAGAGCAAGTAAACTTACCCTAAATAATATTTACTGTCATTAAAATGTCTTCACTTTCTTATGAAAATGTACATGAAAATATAAATCACAGCTGGTCAGAGTGCCCAAAGTGAGAGAAGACACCTATGGAGGTAACTTAATTTTTATCTCTGACGCTTTACAGGACTGAGCCAAAATAGAAAACACAGAGATAAAGATTGCAGTAAATGCCTGTAGTGTGCACACTGTGTATGTTTCAGAGGGGCACAAAATGCAGTACTTTCTTTTGACTGTGTAACAGAGGACACAAGTTATTATAAGTACTTTTATGGACAGATTTAATGACTACAGTGATTGATGTTGGAATTCTGTTTTGAATGGTCAAAAAATGGGTAAGCAGTGAAAAATGGTTTGCATCATTGCACTTTCAAACATATGTGCAAAAGACCAAAACTGGTCTTTTGAACTGACTGTATGCATCACACCAAGAAATTCCAATCATTTGTGTTGATTTTTCAGCAGCACTTCAAAAAATTTCAGAAACAAAGAGATGGGAACAACAAAACTAGCTGAACTCAGCCTTTTGATCTCATTGCTTGTAAACTATATGCTTTTTTTTATAGGGGGAGAGATAATTTTTACTAAATTTATTTAGTACCTAAACAGAACCTGGTGAAGCACTGTCCCTCCTTTTCATTACTGGAAACAACTTTATTTTTTTAAAAAGTCCTAGAAAATCTAGACAGATTTCCTTTACAGATATTTTAGGTTAAATAGGTATCCGCATGTCTATTTAATCACAGGCACTGCACTTGCACACTTGAACTTGCTGTGAGCTTGTCTGATGAATTATCTCTGATTAATTTTCTTTGTTTTACACAAAGACATTGTCTCCCATCAAACAAAGAAACTAAATAGATTTTTGAGGCCAACACAATCCTTCCCATATACAAGATTAGGGATACAGTTTAGTCTTCTGAAGCTGCTCAACACCTCAGAGTTTTAGCAGCATTAGTTTGGTGCATTCAGTGCCATCAGTTGCAACACTGAGTTTCAAATTTTAAAATGAAATTTCAGAGATAAAAGCATTAAGATAGTTCTGTCAGCTATAATACTGGAATGTGCATGCCTGCAGCATTATTTACAGTGTCAGAATCAAAGAGGCCACTAGAAAATATCGTTAGTATATTCAATGGCTTGTTTCCCAACCTGAGTCCCACAAGAACCCCAACCAAAAATTAAAAGTGCTGCTTTTTCTACATTGTACTTTTCCATCTCTAATTGTTTCTAATTCTTCATAGAAGCCCTATTAATTCAGCTATCCAATATAATACAGTATACATAATATTTTGCAAGACACAGATTCTGCAAGTGCCTTTATACCTTCAGGCTTTGTGACTTGACACCGTAATGGTCTTGATTTATTAGAAGATAAACTTTTTCCAATGCTTTTTCCTTTAAATAATGAACTGTAAATAACTTATCCAATATGAAAAATGCTAAGTAGCTCCTTTGAAATTCTAATGGTGATTGTCTACAGTTACATCACCCACTACAGAATCCTTGTATTAATACTTTACCTGCATATATAAGAACATACAGGAGTGTGTGTAACCTGCACATATACACATTTCTGTGTGGGTCTCTTGAGACACAAATTTTGGATGGGGTGTAGCTAGCATATTCCAAAACAGGAGAGATTTTTTTTGCTGTATTTGTGTCTTAAGGAATATTCAATGGCATAACATTGCTGCTAAATACAATTCAACCAACTTTTCTGTCCTTTTTCTTTAATCATTTCAGTTCTGTGGTTCAGCTGGCCCACGCTTCCCCACTGCCAAATCATCACTGAAGAAACCTTCCTGCAAAGCTTAGGTCCAGCCAGCCCTCCTTTTCTGTCAGTAACAGCATTTTCTGCCTGTGCTTCCACGCTGTCATGTGGATGTTGTGGCACACCTTGATGTCAGCATCAGGATGGAGCGAGGACCGGTTGGGCTGTGCACCATAATCCTTAATCCTTGTCTGGAGCTCTGGTTCTGACCATATGAATCCCAAGCCCTGGGCTACCAAACCTTCCTAATTACTCCTCTGGTCTCTCTCCCCTGCAGGCACCATCCCTGGCACATTCTGCCTCCAAGCAAGCTCTGCTCCACCAGCCCTATGGCCAGTGCCTGTGGAGCTCAGATCTTTTCTCTCTGACAGCCTAAACCAAATCACTTTTCCAGGCTTGCCATTCTTCAGAACTCTGTCAGGCTTTGCTACCACCAACCCACCATTTCCAGAACACAGTTAAGTGCTTATCACTGAAAACTTTAAACACTAATTGCTTAGTAATGAAAACTTAAATTGTAGAGTAAACTTCTGCTAAGTGACTGGCAGAATTCCCTCTCCAGTCCATAATAATCAAAATTCACTAAAATTGCATTTTTAAATGTCTTTTGTTGTCTTTTGTTTGAAAACCATTCTATACCCAGGTGTGTGAAGATCTAGATGCAAGATAGTAATTTTAAGTGTTTCTAGGATTGAGCCCAAAAAAATGTTTCTGAATTAACAATTGCTAATTTGGGATTGAATAAAATCTCTGCATTCATCTTAAAAATGTCTAAGTTATTCAAAATCATATTCCTCCTTCCTTTATTTCACCCGTTTGTGTTGTCAGGTACATCAATCCCTCTTAGATATGTATTCCTGAAGAGAAAGATGCTCAGCTTCCCCCTAACCTAGTGCTGAGGATGGAGACTTTGTCACTTTGATAGAATTTACTATTAATTGCCAAAGGTACTGTGTAACCTGAGGAACTTCCCTCACCTTCCAAAACAGCATTCTGAATTTTCACAACTTTAGACAAAATACTGCAGCTAATTCCCTGTATTTCTGCTAGTTTGCTGTGGGTGCTGATGGGAGCTGAGTAGAGATGTTTAATGCAATGTTACTTGTGAGACATTGGATTACATTGGATAATGAAAAGGAAATAAATGCAAACTGAATTCTTAGCATATCATGAACTATTCAATGGCATTGGACTGGATTCCTCTTTCTAGTTTTTAAAAATTGCAGGAGAAACAACCTGAGAACATGCAAAACATGCGGTGCTACTCCTTAGCATCTCTTAATTGTATTTAGTTCATGCTCAAAATCCTAACTCTTTCATGTCACAAGAGCTTTGCAGAGATTCTGTACAGTGTTCCCAAACACAGACCAAGATAGTTTTGCTTTTACCTTCAGGGCCACAATATGAGAAGCTTCTGGCACTCTGATGTTCTGTCACTTTTTAATGCAAACTCTGGAAGTTCACGGACACAACGCTGCACAATCTGAGGAAGATAAATCACAGTTACTTCAAGCCAGTTGACAGCAGTTTAAGCAGCTGCAATCATCAACCACCAAGGGAGTTTCTTCTTTTATCTTACTAAATGCAAAAGTATACCAGGAGCTGCTAATATCACTGGACTATCAGGAGTCCTGCTTTTACATAAATATCAGCAAGCGGTAAGTAAATTCTGTTGACGAAATGTAATAAAACAAAGACGGTTTCAAATATGACCATTCCCTGATGCATTCTGTAGCCCCCTCTTACTCACTTATTGCATGCTGCTGAGATTATAAGGTTTGCTTTTATCTGTCAGAAATCAATATTTCAAACATCGGATAAAAGAGGAAATTGAACTGGGAATAGGCTGAAGTGCTGTAAAAACTACAAAGCACAATTATCAAAAAGCACTTAAGGTACTTAATAGGACACACATATAAAAATGCTCAAATTAATGTCAGGGAACTATAATGAGAACTTTCTCTATGCTTTTTGATCCAAATGCAATGCAATTCAAGTGCAGCCTGGTCAGTCAATACAGTTTTCAATTTATATGAAACCCTAAGGATTTCTAGCAATCCATTTGCTAGAACTGAACCATTACATATGATTGGTTAATATTTCAATTTATTGAAAATACATTATTTTGTGTAAAGTGTTTAACTTGTTGAGGTTTAATCATTATAAACAGTTATGATAAAAATAGATCTTTGGGTAAACAAAGACCTTACAGTCAAGCTTTTAATAAATACTAGTATAACTAGAAAATTGGATTTTAAGAGGAATAGACATAAGGAAAAACTGCAGATATGGGGTCACAAGATGAGAGGAAATTTTTGTATAGAATGGATCTTTATCAGCACATATTAAGCTGAGAAGGGACTTTGTAAAATATTGGAAACTGTGGTTATTTCATGAAAAAAACACTCCTTACTATTAACTTTAGTACTTTCTCCTTAGATTTATATATTCATTTATCATCTTTAATAATACTGAGCTGGAGATCTTTACAAAACTATGCTAGATCAGAAATCATTGCAAATAAAAGTACACGTGTGTATGAACACACCAGCATCCATGGAAAACAGATTGAGTGACCAGAAAATTTGATATGAAATACAAAGAGTTGCAACACACAGAGGAGTTATAGCCATGATTTGAGCAAACAAGATGCAGATTAATTAAATGGTTGTATCCAACTGTAGCACTCTTTCCTAACCTACGTCCCACAAGGAACAAGGGACTCTTGGAACTCTTTCATTGTGGAAAGTCATTCTTAACACTTACACTTCATATTTATACTTTAACCATGACATTTCTTTCGCATGAGGGAACTTTTACTCCACCACAACTACAATGTGACTTGACTGGAACTACACCCAGCTCTCTGAACCATGGATCAGACTGTGGTTTCACCAACAGACAAATTGTTCTATAAGCCAAACGCCTTCCCACCACCTTTCCTCATTACAGTTTTGAGCTCTTAGTTATTATCCCTACTTTTAAAAGTCTAATCTGAGTCTCTGCTACTATAATTGTGATCCTACTTCTTGGTCTATTTTATGTGATGAAAAAGAGGTTAGAGTACTTACTTTCTTTTGCAAGAAATTTGACTCTGGAGGCACAATCATCACACAGGATCTTTCCAGCACACAGGTTCTGTGAGCAGTACAGTCAGTCTCTGATCTAGACAGTGAATGACTTATGCAATTCACCAGGTTAAACTGCACAACACATAGCCAAAAATCTCTCTTCTAATAATCCTGCTCTTGTGTATCCTAAGTAAAATGTAACATGACTTAATTGAGGGAACTCGCAAAGATATCCCCTAAAAACAATTTTCATATGTGAAAGTTTGACAAAGCTAAAAATAAATTCACTTGAATGGTGTATTGAATTTTTAGGTCTCCTGAACTAACAGACTGGTTTTCTGAATCAACAGAATCATCACAGAGCATACAACCTTTTCCAAACAGTACATTACAAAAAAAAAAAACAAAACAAAACAAAACAAAAAAAAAAAAAAAAAAAAATAGTTTTGTTTTCTTTGAGGAGAAAACATACTATGATCTGGTAAGGCAATTGTAGTTATGCCAGTCATAACTGCATAATGCACTTCACAGAAGCTTCTTCTCTTGCATTTTATTGTATTTTTTCCTTCAATTATTAAATTCAGAGGCTCAACCTCAAAAGAAAATGCACTTGTCTTTACATACACTTGAATTGTTACTGCCATTTGAAACTAATCAATGTTTTCTTTAGTACCACAATAGCTTATTTGCAAAGTACCTCTTTAAGAGATATTTACATGGTGTTCTGGAAGTAAACATATTTCACACTCTAAGAAAAAACCCCAACAAAGACAAAGAGGGCTTCATTCTCATCTCAAAGTTCAGCACAAATAAAGTGACTTAAAAGGCTTAAAATATTGTGCACAAAGGGAGTTGCTGCTAGATTATTACCCCCCCCCCCATTAATAAATAACAAGGAAAAACTATGCATTGTACACAACCCCTATATCCTTAGAGAAGTCCAGGAAATTAATTTTCAAAGGCACAGTGTACAAATATATGCTTTCATTAATGTTAACAGGAAAGCAAACAGTTAAAATCTTATTATTAACCTGTGTTTAAATACGCATTTCTTAGAAATAATATACCGCTCCTGACTTGGACCTTCAACTGCATAAAACTCAGAGGACACCAAGGCCTCATTGAGGGTGGACAGCCCAAACTGCTCCAGTAAAGTCAGAATATGATCGGAGTGCAGGAATGACCACACCACTTTCCTCTAGGAATACAGGGCAGATTTTTACTCTGGTCTCCATAGACTTCCCCAGAAAGAGGTCAGAGAAGCCAAGTTAAGTAATGGGAGACCCCTAAATGTCTCAAGATCTGCAGTTATTTAACAAAGGGAAGTTTGAAGGAAGGAAATTTTACACAAAACTCACAAGCAGGTTTTTTTTTCTTTTATTTCCAAATGTAAACATCTACTGCTTTAATAAGCAGATTACCCCCAGTTCAAGCTATACCTGTATTTAAAGACATCAAACCCATTGATTCCAGTAGAGTAGCACTACTATTATGAAATGAAAGTCATAAAAACAAAGCTAATAAGGAACCAAGATTTGCCAAAGGGAAGAACCAGAATTATAATTTAAAGCATAGGACAAAGGGACTGTCACAAAGTAATGCAATGACTTAAGCCAAAGCAGCCATGTTACATATATTATTTCCTACACAAATTTTAAATTGTATTTTCCAGTACATTTGTATCTGTGAACTTGGGATCTATTACTTTTTTCATCTGTAATGCACAGCCAATACTTTGCATTTGCAACCTTGAAAATTTAATGGGGGGGGGGCAGAATAATTTTGTATTTTATCAGTTTATTCTATCTAACTGCTAACAATATGTGGCAGCTATCACACATTGCAAGTAGTCTTACATTACAGAAATCAGTTAATTCACTGATTTCCTTTTATTTATCAAGATTATCTTTCCATCTGGTCTTTAATTAAATATTTTGTTAAGAATCATTAAGGAATTACATAAACTCCTCATAGTTCTCACTGTTAATAATAACCATTTCATTCAACCGCGCTATAAATCTGGAATTTGCCTTCTAGTTTTACTACAAAGCCTTTTTAGAACAGATATTGAAAAAAAAAATTAAAAACAAATCATCCAACAAACCTCCTTCATTTCCAGAAGAGAATTTCCCAATTAAATTAATGTAAATTATCAAGAATTTACTTAGAAGGTTAAAATAGTGTGATTGAAAAATAAATAGTAAGATTTTTCCATTCCTCTTCACTTGAGTTAAAATAAAGGCAGCTCAAATTATATATTATTCCCTCTTTTAAAAAAAGGCAGAAGGTGGTGAGATGGTGTTGGGTAGAGGCACAGTAGTAATGGATTATGGAGATTTTTGTCTCCTGGGTCACTGTTATGAATCTGATCCAAGACAGCAATGATGAAATGTCAGTGCCATTTTATGGCTTTTAGCATGAAATCCTGACCCTGTGAGGTCAATGGCAGAACATCAGTAGTGCCAGGATTTTCACCTCTTGAATCTCTAAGATGCAAAAAGAATTAAGGTCTGACTCAGCATCCATCGACTTTAATGGGAGTTATACTAAGTTCAAGGTGCAGGTTTTTATAAGTCCTTAGGTGCTGCTTTGCTCATGCTTTCATAAGAGCTGGATCCTTCAGATGACCCAAACACTTGAAAGTGCAGCATTAAAACAATAAACTTTTATCTCTGAAGTGAAGTGTTCTAATGGCTCTCATTGCCTTGCTCCGCTGTCTGGGTGACTCTGCTCCATCAGGCCGAGCGCTGGAGAAAGGCTTCTGTCACCACACCTATTCCCTTCTCCTGCTTCTTCCTCTGAAAGCAAAATCCTTGTCCCAGATGACACAAGGTCCAAAACCTCTCAGATCACCCTGTTTGCGGCCCTCAAGGAGACTGGCACAGACTGTGGCTTCTGCTCTGCATCCTGTGTGGTCAACTTACAGTCCATTCCCATAATATCACTCCTACAAAATGTGAGATCTCTGGAGCAGAGGATTAGTAAACCTTTGTGTCACAATGAGTAAATTAACAAAGCATCAGAAGTCATCAAACATGCTTTGTGGAGTGATTAATTCAAAGAAAACCCCTATCAATTTCCTGAAAACAGGCAGAGATGGCTTATTTATAATTTTATTTTATTTGGTTTGATAGCGGGTGCTCTGTAGAAAGGACATTTCCAATCATTTTAAACCAGTGGCTGCTGGAATTTAACTCTTAAGTCTTGCCACTTTATAGGTTTGAAGATTTTTGATCCTGAAAAGAAAATAAGAATAGAATCCAACTGAACTGTCAACTTTTAAGCGCTTATCCAAAATTAAAACAAATTTCCAAAATGAAATTATTTGATCATGACCTCTAAAAATACTAAGGTACACAAATATAAAAATTATATCTTGCTGTAACATATGCTTTCCAGACATATTTCACTT